CATTTAAAATTTAAATTTGCCACGTATTACGAATGTTTTCGAAAAGAAAAGCCATCAATTTTAGCTTATATTGGGCACAATAGAAATAATAAAATCTACCTATTCACTTTCATCAATCAGAGAGAGAAAGTAAACAAACAAAAAGGATAGCGAGGATCAATCATTCAGTTACTTTTGTTTTTAATGTTGACAGCCCGCTAGTAATTTTTATTTTCTTCTTTCGGCAACTATGTTCGCGCACCGCAATATGGCGTCCAAACAAAAGGTCAATTCGGTTCCATCATACATCTGTCATTGAACAGCTGTCGCTGTCTAGGCGTTTTCTTTAAGACCTGTTCTACTTTTTGATGTAGGTTCTATAGGCAATTTTCAGCATTCACCGGTTATCTGGAGTCATTTATACACAACTCAACAGTTCGTATTTTTGGGATGAAACTTAACACGCCCTTTTCTCAATTTTCAACAATGTCAAAATTAGAAGTTTGACGTTGGAACGCCCCTTTCCAAATCTAAGAGGAAGAATCTACCCTTTTGATTTGAGACCTCATGCCGTGTGGTCGGACTGGTCGGTCTTGGCCTGATTGTTTTTAGGCAAGACTTTTTGAAACTTTGTGCCAGAGAAACTCAAGTTAGACTAATTTCTTGTTGATCATTGTCTAGAGTTGTCCCTTGGTCATTTCGGATTTTATTTCGGTAAGTTTTCAGATTTTCTTCAGGAATTATTAACCTACAATACGTGTTCATTTCTTGAATAGGATCGTTCTGAGCAGCTTTTGGAAGTTTAAGGCTTCACTTTTGGCCTAGAGTATCCCTCAGTTAGAGGTAAGATTATTTTTAATGTTTGGGGCTCGATCTGTTTCTTTATACGAACATCGTTATAAGATTCTAGCCGGATTCTAGGCTGTATATAAACGGATTCTAGGCTGTATCTAAACAGATCTTAGGCTGGATTTAGACTGGACCTAGGCTGGATCTAGAATGCTCTTAGTTGGGGCTTTGGTAGCCTCTCTTTAGCAACCTTTTGGTACCACTTTGATAGAACCACGTCGAGTTCTACGTTAATCAGAATGATTTACGACGAATTGTCGGTGACCCGGGATAACCAAGGGATAATTGGAAAAATGCAAACATACTAAACTTAGAAGATTACATTTGGCAACGTTGGACAGGTATTTGGTCGCTATTAGACAAATACACACACCGGCAAAATTAGGGGAACGGACGAAATTTACACCAAGTTTGACATCAATTTTCTCGTACCCTCCGCTCGATTCCGATTAATTTTTCACAGATTGTAGCTTGATTCTTCAGGAATACTTCTGACGTATAACCGTTACCTATTAAATGATTCATCTTTATATAATATACAGGCATGGATGGAAATTCAGTTTTCAACACTGAATTGTAGCCTGATCTTTTCCAAACATTCTTATTTTTTATTCACTCTGATATTTTTCATGTTATTGAAAATACAGAGTTTCGAAAAAAAGGTGGATATTGACCCTAATTTTCTCCACGTCGACATTACGAATTGGATATGAAATGTGTAATTTTCCAACGTGTGTGTGAATGTTTACTTCAAGTTAAATATTGCTCGCAGTTTTACCTCTTACCGATGAATTTATTGTGAAAAGAATGCTCACAAATATAGAGGGAGATCAGAAAGTGCCTCTCATGATTTCCATTTGGTGGAATGTTATTTATTTGAACTAAACTCTCCCTTCACAGAACTCTGAAAATTACTGACTTTCTTTCCATCCCTGTATATGATATAAAGATGAATCATTTAATAACGGTAATACGTCAGATGTATTTCTGAAAAATCATGCTACGTTCTGTGAAAAATTCATCAAAATCGAGCGGAGGGTTGAAGAGAAAATTGATGTCAAACTTAGTGAAAATTTTGTCCGTTCCCCGATGTGTGTATATTAACAGTAAAAGAGGACCATGTTCCAGCAGGTAGTTAAGAGATAACCGGGGATAATAAGGGATAACCGAGGATAGCGGATATCCTGGGAATAACCGGGGATGACCAAGAATAACCGGGGATAACCAGGGATAACTGAGAATAACCAGGGATGACCACTGACCACAGATAACCTTGACGTAGGAAGGAAGTTTGGTGTACACAATTCTGCATTCGAAACCTCCACTTGTTTTTAATATTAGTCAACTTCAACATTAGATTCTCAATAATTAAACGAGTTAAAAATCACAGATCTTAAACAATCCTTCAATGAATGGACTACATGGATGTCCAACTTCAACGTAAATAATGTATATAAACTACAGGAAAAATAATTATCGTAAGTAAACCAACATGTCAAGAATTAATGCGTTTCGCAAGTGCATATGGAAACTGTGTAACAGTTTATTAACCGTATAGTTAGCACACTTTTTAATTCACGAACGAGTTCGAAGCTAAGGAGCTCCACGAAATCGATACTATCGATTTGATTTACTTATAGTTACTCATTAGAGTCAAAGTACGACAATATTGTAACAAAAATCGATATTCGGCAACGCCGTAATCAAACGTCTGGATCTGGAATTTGCCGGGAGCGCCGGGCTCGCAGACAGGAATTCTTTTGACAAAGCCAGACTGAGTATTGCATGCCGTTGTCTTGACCTAAGCCAACTTGAAATGACGTGAAGCCAGCAAGACTTTTTTTACTTTAATGATATACATACTTCTGGATACCTACACGTATATATTAACTTTCTCCAGACTTTTTCATATAGGCACTAAAAATGTGGTGCGACAGCCTTGGCCCATCACTCTGTACATATTAGATTTCTTGTTTATTTATTTGTTTAGACTGAGCGAGGCGTTTATGGTTCAATATTTAGATTAGGCCTGACGTGAGTTTGTTTATTGAACATAGAAGTGCAAAATGAAAGATCTGGCAAAGAAGATTGTGTATTTCTAATTCCAACATTGGCACAATGCGCACCTTAGAAATTTAAAAATAGTTGACCAATTATTACTGGTTCAATAAAGCTTTTGTAACAAAAATCTGAGATCCAGGCCTCTCTACGAAACTAAAAATAAGTTTTGTAGTACAACTGCAGCTTCGCACCGCTCAATTAAATTGATTGCCAATAATTCTATTTTCGAATGTAAAAAAATATTTGCCGATTCGAAAAATTGCAGGAACTAGCTCGGAGTATAATTTCGTTCGTCCTGCACGAATTATTCCATTTCCTCCTTCGAAATTGTTGCTTTGCAGTAAACGACGTAGTCACGACCGTTGGACCGGACCTTACCAATCACTGTCATTTCCAGCAATCAATTGGATCGATGGTTCGTTTGGTTTTATTTTCCTGCGAGCGATATTTAAATCAATTTGGATCCAACCTGTATAGGGGAAGAAGGAAAGCTCGTTGCTTCAATTTGAATATTTACTTTGGGGTTGGTTCTCACATAGAATTAAATGAACATCATTTTGAAAAAATTTCTATAATGCTAAGCTGACCATGTACAAGATTACTCAGTTTTGTTTCAAATTTCATGAGTTCTTGTATTGAATTTGCATACAACTGCAGGCAGAAAACTAAGCGAAGAGATGAAGTTGATGGAAGAAATTAATAAAGTTTATGAATGATTTTTGTTAGAAATGCGGTTCAAAAAGAAACTGTCGATGGTGTAAACGATATAGGGCTGATACCTATGTCAAGATTTGATAAGAACTATTTTTTAATTTTTCATAAGAAAAGACCTGGGTCGCTTTTCATACCCCATATACTACTTTATGCAAACACCTAGCCTAGTTTTCTTAAGAAAGGTGACCTACACCTAAGGGCTATTTCTTTGTTATGTGAGTCGCTGTCTCAGTCTCACATTTCCCGCAAAAGCGGGCGTCTCTTGAATGCCTATCTATCTGACATTGCTGCGCATTATTTTCATTTTCAGTTTTCTTCTTTTCTTATAAATGCAAATGATGCATTACAAAAAGTCTTCTTATTGTTGAGTTTTTTCCAACCTTCCACTAGGGTATATACCCACATTTTAAACCTATATTATGTTCGTGCGTATACTATGCACATTTCCGTTATCTAATATTTAAATCCTCTACAGATAATTTTTACATAACATCAAAAGTGGAGCACATTGATCCCGTTTTAATCTGAAAAGTAAACAAACAACATACCAAGCAGAGTTTACTTTTCGATTTGTGTTTTGTAAATTGTTTGCTCTCGATTCGCGTCTTGTCTTTTGGTCGTTTTGTGACATAAAAGAGAAAACTTTGTCATGTTTATTGTTTAGGGAAAGTAGAACTGAACTGTAATGGAATTTGGAATATTAAAGCCACAAACAAAATAAATTTATTCGACGATATTTTCACATCCTTAAAGTTGTTGTGGTGTGAGCCTTGTTTTTGAAATAAATTTTCTTCTTGAATGGGTTTCTTGACAATTGGAATTGGAATACCATTCCTAACCAATAATGATTGTTTTTTTAACTTTCGCAACCTCGTAATATTTTGTCTTAAACTCTCAAACTTCCTTCTGAATATTTTACCAAACCGCAAAACTTTATCCTTTTAACCAATGGCCAAAAATGGCCCCTTCCTTGCGGTTATTATACTTAAAATTAAATACATCTCATTTTATTCTCTTTGGTATTTTGTATGCGGTACAAACTTTTGGAACGATGAAACTTTTATTTAATTTAAATTCCGGCAAAAAGGCATAAACCAAACGAAATTTCCTCCTCTAATGTCGGCCGTATAGTTTACTATTATGCAGGAAGCAAAAGCTGGAAATAATTCATCCATATTATGAAGTAAGCACTTCATTTTTCTGGTTTCTATTAGTATCAACTTAACTAGAAAATGTTCAATGTGTGAACACTGACAAATTTCCAAGAAAAAATAAATCAATTAGCCAATCTATTTTATTTTTTCTCGAACAAGTTAAACCTGGATCGCTGTTGTACCACGTCAATCATGGTCGACCTAGATTATTATATTTTTAAAATTTTGCTCAATTTATTTCAGGTCCAGTGACGGTACCGATGGTATCCACCAACCAATCGCCGCCGATAGCGATGCCGGTACACGTGCCGCCAGGTCACGTGGTCCAGCAGATAGTCGACGAAAACGGCACGTTACGGCACGTTATCTTGTCCACGTCACAACATCCCAGTTTACTACCTTTACCGAACCCGCCACATTATGTAAGTGACTTTTGGTTAATGGAATTGGAAGTTTTATTATTCTATCAAAAAATTGCTGTAATGTATTCAGGAACACCAATCTTGGAGAATCAGGCAAAATACTGACTTTTTTCTATAATTTTCTCTAAAATTTTCTCTCAAATTTGCACAAGAGTCAAGGATAGAATAGTTCTTGATCAGTCTGCATTTGTGTAAGGATAAAGAAATGTGACAGTGGCTCATTAAATTCAATGAGTCAAAATACAGGTTGTCAAATTGAACGTTTTCCTATCATTCGCTCATGTAAAATAATCTTAATATAACCACATATGAGTACATGAAATTATGATCACTCTGTATTTTTTTAAAGATAAAGGAACTTTTTCCAATAGTCGAAGATAAATTAAATCTTGATCACCCTGTAGGAGTTTTTCTAGGGATCGGACGTCACATTGGCCCATGAAAAAACATGTTGTTCAAACTTTTTTCTATCATCAGCTCATGTAGAAGAATCTTTACTTATACTTTAACAATAGTCAAAGATACATGAAATAATGATCACTCCGTATTTTTTTAAGAAAAGAAGGACGTCGGAGTGACTCAATAAATTGATAATGACTTAAAATACAGAGTGATCAAACTCTTATCTATCATCGGTTCTAGAATTTCCAATAAACCTTTTCCAAGAGCCGAAGATAGATAAAATTTTGACCACCCTGTATAGGATTTATGTAAGGTGCGGACTTTATATTCCCATCAAATGTATTGAGGCAAAAAACGTGATGTTCAAACTTTTTCCTATCATCAGCTCATGTAAAAGAATCTTTACTTATACTTTAACAATAGCACATGTAATAATGATCACTTTGTATTTTTTCCAAGGATAGAGGGACGATATAGTGATCAATTGAATTAATACTTACAATACAGAGTGATCAAACTCTTATCCATCATCGCTTCTAGAATTTCCAGTAAACCTTTTCCAAGAGCCGAAGATAGATAAAATCTTGATCACCCTGTACCAATTTTTGTAAGGATCGGACTTTACATTGGCCAATCAAATTTATTGAGGCAAAAAACATGATGTTCAAACTTTTTCCTATCATCGGTTCATGTAAAAGACTCTTTACTTATACTTTAACAATAGCCAAAGATGCATGTAATAATGATCACTCTGTATTTTTTTCAAGGATAGAGGCACGACATAGTGATTCTTGAATTATTAATCACTTAAAATACAGAGTGATCAAACTCTTATCCATCATCGCTTCTAGAATTTCCAGTAAACCTTTTCCAAGAGCCGAAGATAGATAAAATCTTGATCACCCTGGACCAATTTTTGTAAGGATCGGACTTTACATTGGCCAATCAAATTTATTGAGGCAAAAAACGTGATGTTCAAACTTTTTCCTATCATCGGTTCATGTAAAAGACTCTTTACTTATACTTTAACAATAGCCAAAGATACATGAAATAATGATCACTCTGTATTTTTTTCAAGGATATAGGGATGACATAGTGATTCATTGAATTAATAATGACTTAAAATACAGAGTGATCAAATTCTTATCTATCATCGCTTCTAGATTTTCCAATAACATTTTCCAAGAGCCAAAGATAGATTAAATCTTGATCACCCTGTAGGATATTTTGTAAGGATCAGACGTTACATTGGCCCATCAAATTTATCGAGGCAAAAAACGTGATGTTCAAACTTCTTCCTATCATCGGCTCATGTACATAGAAGAATCTTTACTTCTACTTTAACAATAGCCAAAGATACATGTAATAATGATCACTCTGTATTTTTCTCAAGGATACAGGGACGACATAGTGATTAATTGAATTAATAATGACTTAAAATACAGAGTGATCAAACTCTTATCTATCATGGCTTCTAGAATTTCCAGTAAACATTTTCCAAGAGCCGAAGATAGATTAAATCTTGATCATCCTCTAGGAATTTTTCTAAGGATTCGACGTTACATTGGCCCATCAAATTTATTACGGCAATAAACGTGGTGTTCAAACTTTTTCATATCATCGGCTTATGTATAAGAATCTTTACTAATACTTTAATAATAGCCAAGGATACATGAAATAATGATCACTCTGTATTTTTTTATCAATAGAAGGACATCAGAGTGACTCATTGAATTGATAATGCCTTAAAATACAGAGTGATCAAACTCTTATCCATCATCGCTTCTAGAATTTCCAGTAAACCTTTTCCAAGAGCCGAGGATAGATTAAATTTTGATCACCCTGTAGAAATTTTTGTAAGGATCGGACGTTAGTTTGGCCCATCAAATTTATTGAGGCAAAAAACGTGGTGTTCAAACTTTTTCCTATCATCGTCTCATGTAAAAGAATCTTTACCAATAGCCAAAGATACATGGAATAATGATCACTCTGAATTTTTTTCAAGGATAGAGGAACGACATAGTGATTCATTGAATTAACAATGACGTAAAAATTACACAGTGATCAAATTCTTATCTATCGTCGTTTCTAGAATTTCCAATAAACCATTTCCAAGAGCCGAAGATAAATTAAATCTTGATCACCCTATAGGAGTTTTTGTAAGGATCGGACGTTAGATTGGTTCATCAAATTTATTGAGGCAAAAAACGTGGTGTTCAAACTTTTTCCTATCATCGGCTCATGTAAAAGAATCTTTACGAATACTTCAGCAATAGCCAAGGAAACATGAAATAATGATCACTTTGTATTTTTTTCAAGCATAGAGGCACGTCATAGTGACTCATTGAATTCAGTCAAAATACAGCAAACTCTAGAATTCCCACTAAACCTTTTACAAGAGCCGAGGATAGATTAAATCTTGACCATCCTGTATTTTTGTAAGGATCAATAATTGGCCCATTAAATACAGGGTGATCAATCTTCTTTTTTATCATCGACTTTTGTTTTTATTGCGAAAACTTTCACGAGAGCCGAGAATAGATGAAATCTTGAGACACTAGAAAATCGCTTATAGTAAATAATTTCAGTGTGAAATCCTTTGAGAAGTATTAACTACCAGTTAAAGAAGTTTGAGGGAAATTAGCGAAAAGAAACTTCAAATGATATCTGAGGAAAAATTGTTGGTAGTGGTAACTAGAACCATTACCACCTGACTGGTAACACTATCTTTTTTTCACACTGTTCACACGCCACGTCCAGAATTAAAATACAAATTGCACGGTGTGAATGCACGCCATGTCAGTCGGGTTGAGTAATTTTTGTTTTGCTGGATGATGCGTGCAAAATTATTTTTAACCAAACGATTTTTAATTGGTGGTGCGCTTGTTTCAGTAATAAATCCGCGCTCGTTAATTTTTATTCGCCTATTTTCAGCCTCGAATCCAATACACCCAACAAATGCATAGACTCGGAAAAGATATCGAAACTCATTAAACATCAAACAACTTTTCAAATAACGAAACAGTAAATATAAAAAAGGCAATAAGCTGTTTATGTATGTAGCTCGCAATCCTCAATAAAATCGTCTTCCCAACGTTTCGGATGGAATACGTGATCGGATCAAAAATTTAATATAATCCAGTTTCCAGGGATATAGGGCCAAAATATGAGGGTTTTTTTAAAGATGGGGCCCCAGGCTTGATTCGACGTTCTCGGATCATAATACTGGCTTTTATTAAATTCCTTTTCGTGAAAACTGGGATCCTCTACACATACTACTCTGTAATTGAAGTAAAATCTCATATCTAACCCAAACCGCACTTGACATTTTTGAATCAGGAAAAACTTAATTTTATCAGCATCTATTTTAGAGAAAAAAAAGTAAGCTTTCTGCTACTGACGGCAGGTTGGCTGTGTCGGGACCGGATGCCGGTGACACTTGTTCCCTTAACCCACATTCCCGGATAATGTTTGTTCAACTTTGTCTCGCCTTGGCACTAGGACAGATTTTTTTTTTCAAATTTCAGCAATGCAGATCTTTAACTTTTGATCCGATGGTAACGATATACTGCTCAAAAACTAACTTCATTGGGTGGCTGAAATGTTTTTACATAAGTCAGTATATCAAAGGCATTGTATTCCTAGCAAGACCTAATCATTGTCACGTTCGGAAATGTCAGAATCAAGATTCGAAGAATCAACAATGAATTTCAATAGAACCGAATGGTTCTTCAATTGAACATTTCTTAGTTTAACATATCATCAACTTTCAAAATGCAATTTTGAGTTTTCTTCTACTATGATCCTAATGTTCGGGTGATTTGTCAATTACTTAAGTAAATACAACTCTGTAGATACATCAATTTTATTAAAGTGGGTCGAAGAGTCAGCATTAATTTGGTATAAATACCGCGCCGAGATCTACAACCGACAGACTAAGGCTAGTTGATACGGGATTATTTTTCCCCCTTAAGTAAAAGTACCCCCATCTAGAAATTTAAATTGACATTTCACCTATATCCTATTCACAATCCGATGTCCACAGGTACAGGTAAATTTATCACCTTTTCCTATCAAATAGCATTGAAAGGTGGTAAATTTTACCTGTACCTGTCGACATCGGATTGTGAATGGATAATATACAGTTTTCATTCCGCTATTTTTCAGTACCATCTAACAATAATTGTGGCTATTTATTTAAAGATTTCATATTATATATTATTACAGATTCCTACATACTTGCTTTATAGTAGTGATTTGATTGTTGTCTTCGGGCCCCTTTGACCTAGTTCTTTGTAGTCTAGCACAATCTTGAGTACTTTCTATATCCTGACAGTACTTCCTCCAATACCTCCTCTGGGATCCCCTCAGCTCTTGTACTTTTTCAACGTGGTTCTGTATGTTTTCCACTGCCCGGTTCACATGGCTTTATTGAATTCTGTTCTAGTTTTTTTTCTTAACTTTGCAAGGCTCTCGTTCCACCAGGGCATTTTCCTGGTGGATGTCCCTGTTGTAAGTGGGCAATTTTCATTGAAGGCTGAGATTATTGCATCATTGAATTGTTCCACAACCATCTCTAAGTCGTCAGTGTTTCTTAT